AATAATTTCATATTGGTATTCTTCCAACTTAATTCTCCATCTCATGAGGCGAGAGCCTGGATCTTTTAAGTTGAATAACCATACTAGAGGCTTGTGATCAGTGATTATATGGAATTTCACACCATGGACATAGGGACGGAAATGTTGCACAGACCATACAATGGCTAAGAGCTCTTTTCTCGATAGTGGAATAGTTCATCTCGGCACAATTTAAAGTACGGCTGGCGAATGCTACTGGCAAATCCTTACCAATCGGACCTTGGGACAAAACTGCTCCAATAGCTTTACCGGAAGCATCAGTGGTTATATTAAAGGGACGTTCAAAGTTGGGATATTGAAGAATGGGAGCAGTGGTTAAGTGAGTAATTAAATTTTCGAAAGCATTTTGTTGGGAAGATGTCCAATTGAATTTGCTATCCTTTTTAAGAAGATCAGTGAGTGGTCTAGCAATTTTAGAAAAAATTTTCAATGAATCGTCTGTAATAGCCAGCCAATCCCAAAAACGATTTAATGTCCTTAGGACATTTGGGCACAGGAAAATTAGTTATAGCTGCAATTTTAGACGGATCGGGTTTAATACCCTGAAGTGATTACATGTCCGAGGTAAGACACTTCTTTACAAAAAAAATACATTTTTTGGTTGAAGCCTTAAATTACTGTCTCTCAAACGTTCGAGAATTTCGCGAAGACGCTTAACGTGTTCATTAAGGGTATTGAATAAATAACAATGTCATCCATATATACGAAACATTTTAGCCCTTGCAAACCAGAAAGAACGGAGTTCATTAAACGCTGAAAGGTAGCTGGAGCAGTTTTGAGCCCATAAGTTTATATTGATAATGAGCCGTCTGCGTCGAAAAAGCAGTTTTCTCTTTATCTTCTACCGTCATAGGAATCTGATGAAAGCCAGATGCTAAATCTAAAGTGGAGAAGTATTTAGAGTTCCCTAACTGGTCCAATATATCGACAACATTTGGAAGAGGAAAGGAATCACCAACCGTGACTTCGTTTAGTTTTCTAAAATCTACAACTAAACGCCACTTAGAATTACCATTTTCAGATTTCTTTCTAACTAGGAGCAAGGGGGCGTTCCAAGGACTCGTACTTGGCTCAACAATATCGTTGTCTAATAAGTCCTTCACTTGTTTACTTACTTCATTTTTGTGTGAATTAGGCAATCTATACGGTCTGACATTTATAGGTAAAGTCGTAGAAGGGGTAATTATACTATGCTGAACAGAAGAAGTAAAAGGTAATTTATCGCCCTCTACATAAAAAATATCGTTAAAGTCATTACAAATTTGGTATAAAAGTTCGCGTTCTTCATCATTCAAATGATTTACTTTAATATCATTTAGAATTTTTTCGATTCTAACTGACTGAAAATTTTGGGTTGTTTGATTATTTAGTGAAAGACAATTTACTAAAGAAGTGGTGTTGCTCTCTGGCAATCTACAAATTTGAAAGGTAGGAATTTTAAGTTTGATCTCCTTTTCGTTACAATTTATTACACTCAAAAAACAAGAATTATTAATAGGAGCAACAAGGGTATTTCCGACAAATACGCCTTGACTTATCTCTGACCGTTCAATGACACCTACGCAATTTGACTCAGTTTTTACTTTAACTATCGTTTCCGATCTAGAATTTAGTGTCACGAAATTTGGAAAATTTAGAGAGATGGGATCAGAGTCCTTAAAGTTTATACTTGAATCGATGATATTTATAATACCCCCATAAGCTTTTAGAAAATCAATCCCCAATATTCCATCACCCTTGATGGGTAATTTATCAAAAACAATGTAAAATTTGTGGGTTATTATTTTATTCCCCAGCAAAATTCTTATATTGGCTGTCCCTATTATTTCTACGGCGTTCCCTGACACGCCAGTAATTAAAATTTTATCTTCTTTATTAATAATAATGTCTATATCATCATCCAAGTTGAAACCTTAATAACACTGATCTCAGCTCCTGTGTCGACTAACAAATTGATCTTATCTTTCGTGGTATCGAGAGATTCTAAATTTATAAAAGCTAGATTCTGTTTGTCAACAAGGCAAGAAATTTGTGCATTCTTGAACTCTCTCGCTTTAGAAGAAAGTTCAGAAGCACTAGGTGTGTGGGAAGTTGAAGTACAAGGGCCTTCATTAAGAATCTTTACGTCTACATTGTTAATTTTGGAACGCTGCTGTTCATTGTACATCCTTCTACGACAGTCTTTATCTCATGGCCAATGCCTTTACAGTAATTACAATGAACAGGGGGCTCAGATTTAATAGGTTTACGATAAGATGGACGATGAGGAGGGTTAATTGGTTTGAATGGTTTATCAGAACGACTTGTTCTTGAAGTTTTTAAAGAAATCTCCTCCTCGATGGCTATAGAAATGGCTGCATGCAAGTTTAGAGGAGATTTACAATTTACAATGATTCTAAGGTCGGGGTGTAAACCTTCTTGAAATACATAAAGGGCTTGATCTTGGAGGAGATCTGTATAATAATATTCGCTGCAGGGTTATTCTTTTTCTTTATAGTGGCGCTTGTAAGCTGTCTTAAGACGGCTTGAAAACGCAAGAATAAGACTGCACATCTTCATTTGGTTTCTGGCAAATTTTATTAAATTCGATCTGTAGTGAGGCTACAGATCGGGTGTCAAAAAATATCTCCTCCAAGCAAGATTTTAATTCAGAAAAAGACTCTATTTCCTTGTACTGGGTTGCTTGGAAAGCTTTCCCTTCTAATTTAGTGAACAAAATGAATTTTAAGAGAGCAGGGTGATCCCTAGGGTCGACGCTTTCAAAAATATATGTTAGAAAATTTAAAAATGGGGATAATTTCTGGTTATCGGAACCATCAAATACCTTAATAATATCCATTGCCCTATGCAATGTTAGAGCATATGTTTTCTTGCATGTTTAGGTTTGAGTTTTGATCAGGAAGACAGAGAGAAGGAGCAGATAAAAATTTGGAAGATGATATGGGTTTAGGTGAGACGACTATACTATTATTAAAAATGGCACTTACTAGATCAAGTCCAGAATTTTCGTTGGTTGACTGGAAGGATAAGTAGCTCTCAAATATCGACTCAGTGGATCTGCTTATTACACTCTGTCGTGGCAGCAAGAAGTTTTCAGCGTCACGTTTATACATTGACCCTATATTCAAAAATTAGATTAGTAACATGTTACAGCAATAACACATATAAAAGGGTAAAGAATAGATACAGAATGTAGTTATATATAAATAATATGAGAGTAAATATAATATTGAGATTACATTAATTCTAAAGGTTTGTAAAAAGTTTTGTAAATTAATCTCAAGATTTGTAAATTGTTCTAAAGGTTTGTAAGTTATTCTAAAAGTATTTTTACTTACTCTAAAGGTTTGTAATTGTTCTAAAGGTTGGTAATATAATTTAAAAATTTGTTTCTAAAGGTTTGTAATTACTCTACAAGTTTGTAATAGTTCTAAAGGTTTGTAGGTTATTCTAAAAGTATTTTTGCTTACTCTAAAGGTTCGTAATTGTTCTAAAGGTTTGTAATTGTTCTAAAGGTTTGTAATTGTTCTAAAGGTTGGTAATATAATCTAAAATTTTGTTTCTAAAGGTTTGTAATTACTCTACAAGTTTGTGATAAAAAGGCAACGATACTTAAAACTATAATCGGTGTCTAAAATTTCGAAAACAAACTATAACTATTGATACTCAAGTGTTCCTCCTTCCTAGCTGATGTAATACACCTCGCAATCGCTTGGCTTCAAAGCGTCACTCGGTGGCGTCTTCAAGATGGCGGACAGGATGGCGCGTGCGCGTCTTAAATAAAGCTTACTTGATATGTGGTGAACTTTCCTATGTTTCTCCTCGATCCTCCAGGCCTGTTTTTGTGTTGGATTATTTATTTTACCGCTCGCCACCAATGTTGTGCTTCGTATATTTCATTGCCTTAACAATGATTTATTTCAGCCTGTAGTTGCCTTCAGCGGAGA